CCATGCACGTTTTAGATAGATTTTAGGACAGGGAGAAAAGAACACAGAAACATTTTTTTGGGGACAGGGTCTTGCTCTGTTGCCCAGGCTAGAGTGCAGTGGTGCAATTATAGCTCACTGCAACCTCAAACTACAGGTCTAAAGCGATCCTCCTGCCTCAGCCTCCCAAGTAGCTGGGACTGCATACATGCACCACCATATTAGCTAATTTTTAAATTTTTTTTTTAGAGACAAGGCGTAGCTATATTGCCCAGGCTGGTCTCCTAGGCGCAAGTGATCCTCCTTGGCTTCCCAAAATGTTGGGATTACAGACATCAGCCACTGCACCCAGCAACAATGCATTTTTGAATTTGATCAACCTGCAATTCAAAGTGTAGGAAATACTTAAACGTTAAACACACAATTTTGATTTATCAGAATTTAGATAACTGATCTTGAAATATTTATATAGGAAGATTAATTTATATACTTTGTCGGTTTCCTTAATGAATTTACCTGTTTTTAGGGGATGCAGAGTGTGATAGCATTTGCTACAGTACTAACCCAAAACCAAGCAATTAAGGGAATAAACCTTAACCGACCTATACTGTATGGAGAACAGGTATGTATTTAAAGTAATGATAGTTAACATAATATGTGAACTAAGGCACCACTGAGGTTTATGTCAAGGTACATGAATACATTGTATTTTTAGAATTATACCTACTATATCTTGTAAACTCCTGTTTACAAATAAAAACCTTCATTTAAAGGAAAATTAGGGCTGAGTGCAGTGGCTCACGCCTGTTATCCCAACACTTTGGGAAGCCAAGGCAGGAAGATCACTTGAGCCCAGGAGTGGACCAGCCTGAGTAACATAGTGAGACCCTACCTCAAAGAAAAATCTTTATGGACTGTATCCCTGTGGAAATAAATATGTTTAAGTTTATGAAATCATATTGTAAGCATAATTCCTCTTTTAAATATGTTGAGTGGTGTCATTGTTACCAAATCCTGAGAATATTATTAAACACCCAGGGCCCCTTTCTCAGGCCCACACCCTTGATCTCAACCTGGTGCTTCTGGCAGCCAGCTATACTCTAGCCTGCTTTGTTCTTCCCCAGGGCAGCCACCACCTTGTCTATCCCAGAGGGTACTATTCCAGTCTTAAATGGTTGTGGAGTAGAATCCTCTTATGCTTCTCCATACTTCACTGTTTCCAAATGTAAGCCTGCAAACCTATTCCATTTAAGGGGTTTTACTGTTCATTACCATGCAGGAACAAGCGATAACAAATAAAAAGCTATGAGATGTTGGATCCCACCTTTGACTTCTCATTGGCATTAGCTGGAAAGCTTGGAAAAATACCAATGCCAGGTGCCACTCTAGACCAATTAGGTCACAAACTCAGTAAATGAGGCTAATACTCTTTACTATTTCTGACAGTATTTCCTCCTTTTAATAAGGATAGTCCCTCATGCAAGATTTTTAGCCTAAAACTGCAATCGTGGCACAGACACAAAAATGAACTGAGTCTGTCCTCCATGCCAGGCACTTAGACCTCCCCAAGTGATCGGTTTGCATTTTTTAAGACCCCAGACTACATAGCATTCCCTTGGGTATATCTTTTCAGTGTCAAAGCAATAATTTCAACAAATCAAACACAATTATAGGATATTGAACAGTAATAAATGCTTTGCAGTCTGCTATAGAACACTTATTTTGTACTAGATGCTTTTTATTTGTTAACTTATTTAATTCTGTGAGGGAAGCATAATTTCACCTACTTTACAGAAAAGGAAACTAAGACTCAGCTAGATGAAATAATTGGCCCAAAGTTATATAGCTAGTAAAGCTAGCATCTGGACAGTTTTGATTACTATAAGCTCACATGTATTTTCTGCTATTGGTAGGTGGTTTATTTAACTTTTAAAGTTTTTCTCAAAGTAGTTTTACATAATAAAAAAATAAAGCTATCCATGTTCATCATTTCCAGTGATTATAAAACTTATTACATGTTATATATAGCAATCATGCAAGAGGACTCTTGTCACAAAATACTTTGGCCCATTCATTTCAACATATGCTTTGGTTTTGTTAAAAACTTAAAATGCTTGGTATTCAAATCCTCATTGAGGCTATATACCTTTTGCCTAGAAGCAATTAGATTGTGGAACTTTAAAAAAAGTATTTTGATGACCAGAAAATGAGAGTAAAACTAATATTAGGAATTTGGGATGATTATAAAAGGGAGGAATCAGATGTTTCACAGGGTTAATGAGTATACTTTTAAAATAAAATCAAGACTGGGAAATTTCTTTATATTTTGTCTAAAACCATCAGGAAATGGAGATCAGGAGCAAGGTTCAGGAACATACAGAGAGTACCAGAAAGGTTTATAGGACTATTGAAAGGACAGTATATATGCTCAGTACAGGATGGTCCCAATTGTTTTGATATTTTTTCCTTCTGAAATGTATGTTTGGTTATTGTTTTTTAAACCAAATTAATCAGACTCTTTTACATCACTTTTAGTCATGGTATTTTATAAGTGCCTGCTACTTATTTCTGAGATTAAAGATATAATTTGTGGCAAAGATGATTTTTTTTTCATATAGGGCCAAACAAATGCAAACTGTAGACTAATAGTCTTAAACCAATATAATTTTTTTAAAAGTGAATTTAAATAACAGCATTTATTTGGAGTAACATGTACTGCTTCAAAATTATATTTTAGAAACAAGATTTAATCCATTTTTAGGAAGAGTCCACAGTCCATCTAGGTCATATGTTGAAAGAAAATCACTGCCTTGTTGAACTACACGTGTGTAAGCATGGTATAAAAAACTGTGGTTTACAACGGTTATGTAATGCACTGTATCTGAACACTAGTCTACGTTACCTTGATGTCAGCTGGTAAGTGATAATTTACACATTAGTAATTTGAAAGTTAAGTCATGAGAATAATCTATGTAAATATTCATATTACATGGGATACTCCGTTAAGACATTATTTCCAATGATTAGAAAATGCAACCATTGTTATCAACCTTTTATCCTAAGCCTTAATAATTATTAATTTAATTTATACTGCTATCTCTTAACTTGAATGAGGAAATTTGGTTGTGTATACCGGAATGAAAACAATATTTTCTGGTGAATTTTCATTAACTTTCTTGGAAATTGAATGATTAAAATGAATCTTTACAAAAATATAAAGTATTGTTTAACAGTTTTCAAGCATCTTATTTCTATGAATAGAACAGTATTTCATATTTTCAAATATACTTTTCTTTTCCCAGCAATAAAATAACTCGTGATGGAATAGAGTATTTGGCTGATGTACTGAAAAGCAACACTACCTTGGAAGTAATAGATCTTTCTTTTAACAGAATAGAAAATGCAGGAGCAAACTATCTCAGTGAAACTCTTACTTCACACAACAGGAGTCTTAAAGCGTTAGTATGGTTTTATATTTAATCAAAATAAGAGAAAAACTTAAATTTTTAAATACTAACCTTAAACCCCTTAACTCTTAAGATTATGATGAAATATGAAAACTCAGTT